TACGACTCGCTGCTCGTGAAGGTGACGGCCCACGGGCCCGACAGCGGCGCCGCCGCCGCCAAGCTGCGCCGCGCGCTCGCCGAGTTCCGCATCCGCGGCGTCAAGGTGACACCGGGGGGACCGGGGACACCGGGGGGACATRGGGGGGACATGGGGGACACGGCGCCAAGCTGCGCCGCGCGCTCGCCGAGTTCCGCATCCGCGGCCTCAAGGTGACACCGGGGACATGGGGGACATGGTGGGGACATGGGGGATGTCCTGCGGACCGTGCTGTCCCGTGTCCCGTGTGACACGCATGTGACACCGTGTGACACRCGTGTCCCCTTGCCTTGCAGACCAACATCCCGTTCCTGCAGACCGTGCTGTCCCGTGTCCCGTGTGTCCCGTGTCCCATGTGTCCCGTGTGACACGCGTGTCCCCTTGCCTTGCAGACCAACATCCTGTTCCTGCGGAACGTGCTGTCCCGTGTGTCCCGTGTGTCCCGTGTCCCGTGTGTCCCATGTGTCCCGTGTCCCATGTGTCCCGTGTGTCCCGTGTGACACGCGTGTCCCCGTGTTTCCTGCAGACCAACATCCCATTCCTGCAGAACATGCTGTCCTGTGTCCCGTGTCCTGTGTGTCCCCTGTCCCGTGTGTCCTGTGTGTCCCATGTCCCGTGTGTCCCGTGTCCCGTGTGACACGCATGTCCCCATGTTTCCCGCAGACCAACATCCCGTTCCTGCAAAACGTGCTGTCCCATGTGTCCCGTGTGTCCCGTGTGACACGCGTGTCCCCGTGTTTCCCGCAGACCAACATCCCGTTCCTGCAGAACGTGCTGTCCCGTGTCCCGTGTGACACGCGTGTCCCCGTGTTTCCCGCAGACCAACATTCCGTTCCTGCAAAACGTGCTGTCCCGTGTCCCGTGTGACACGCGTGTCCCCGTGTTTCCCGCAGACCAACATCCCGTTCCTGCAGAACATGCTGTCCCGTGTCCCGTGTGTCCCGTGTGACACGCGTGTCCCCGTGTTTCCCGCAGACCAACATCCCGTTCCTGCAAAACGTGCTGTCCCGTGTCCCGTGTCCCGTGTGACACGCGTGTCCCCGTGTTTCCCGCAGACCAACATCCCGTTCCTGCAG